AACTTGAAAATCTAAGGTCGATTTATACATATGTAAAGAACCTCTATTTGCGCGTTCGATCGTATTTAACTCTATCTACATAATTTCAGCTAAGTTATTCATTATGCATCTAATAATTATTACACTTATGTTATTTATGTTCCATCATCATCTGGCCTAATTAAGTCTCGACAGTTGCCGAGAAGGATCCGGGTTATTAATGAGCGCGAATTTTATGGAAGCTTTTTGAGATCAACAAAACTAATAATTGTCTGTTATATATAAGATTTACAATAATAATAATCACAGTACTAAGTTATTTTAGTGCGGTGATCACGATCTCTCCATAAAAATCATGTGGAATTAACAAAAGTATGCTGTCAAGGAATTTCGATGCTTTGAGAGAGAGTGCACAGCTTTTTTCATGAAACATGTCAGTCTGAGATGCCAAGTGAGGAGAAAACCTAAACGTGCTGGTTCAATTATCTTTTGCACTGGTGGAATTAAAAACTGTTTGAAAACTGACGGTTATCATAATTCTCTAATCCAATGGCTAAGAATATGGGTCTGATATGTTTAACTAGATGACTCGGTATTCTGATGTTTTTATCGGCATGTTCATTCAATATTGAAAAATCGTGTATCCTTACCTGTCCAAACTATGAGATAGGTATGGATCTTCACAACGTTAGCGTCATACATATCCGTCTGATATACAAAGCCTTACAATGATGCATGTAAGCTATATTTTCTGTGCATGGACAGAACGATATATCTGGATACGGATAAAAATAGTAACACTAACATATCTCCTGAGCGATACAACCAAATAATGGGAGAGAATGTTTAAATTATCGACTCGTGAATGCGAGCAGTGTATGATTGGTTGGAGGTGTCGTTGTGAGAAGACTATATTTCTAGAGGTTGTCGGATTGAATGCATGAGATTATGCATATGGAACGCTAGGAATCAACTAAAAAGAATTTGTTTGATATATGAATGTTAACATAAATGTCTTATATATTCCTCGTTGTTGCAATGTGCTAGAAATCGATAACTGTCGGATAGGAATTGCTTTTATTGAGTTCAATGTCCTGTACCATTGCGATTCAAGTCTTCCTTTCTACGTGTATTTTCGGCACCCGATTTTGTAAACAGATTTTCCCTAGTGGTAGTAGAGTCAATATTTTCACGTGGTTAGATTCGCTAGATGCTCAGTTTCAAAACTTAAAATTCCTTTTGGTTGCTGAGAAAAATCATTTTTTCTAAATCTGAGGCGACAAAGTCGAAATTCTGCCCGTAATTTCCAATTTTCTCGATCAGAACTCAACATTTGAGCAATAAAACCTTGGCAGAGTAGCACCTAAAGGTACTAAAAAGTGAAACTCTCAATACTGAGACGTCTAGTCTAAAAAAAACATTAGTTCTAAACTGAAATAAAAGTTTAATATACTAATGAAATTTAAAGAAAATGGATGACATTTTTTTTCTCATGAAACATTTATTTTTGGCTGTAAGTAGGAGTAAATGAATGTTTTCCCAATTTTTATGTTGAAAAATTAACAAGATTTTCACCCAAAACTGAAAATGAAGTAAAAGTTTTGAAATACACACAATTCGACTTTTGATCCTGAGTCCGAATATGATATTTTCGCGGAACTCCCTCACTATCTTCGAATAAGAGGGAGTAACAGTTTTATACCCCAAAATCGCTGTTTTTAACATAAATTTGAGTTAAGGTTGTGTCCTCCTGGAGGACACAACTCCTGTTAAAATACCGCACAAAACTTCTAACAAAGGTGCATACAACGTCCTAAAGTGGTGGTCATAACCTCTTAGAAAGATGTACACAACTTCTTGCGTTGATGAAGAAAATTTCTTAGATCGGTTCGAATGACCGTTGATTCATTTTAACTTTTATTATAAAAAATAATTTTTTTATGTTTTTTGCAGTTGGTTTAGTCTTCTTGTTTTTCTTGCCCATGATAAATAATAAAAAATTATGTTGAAAATTTTAGAAATACAAATATTAGTAAATAATATTATAAAGATTTTTTGTATTCACCAGCCTTAGCAACATAGACTTTTTATGTCTCGCTTGTGTGCTGCTATTTATCGATAAAAAATTTTGTTTTTAGCATTCTCTCAGTATCTTCAAAGAAGATGGAGTTACAGTTTTATACTTAAAAACCCTGATTTTAAGATAATTCTGGGTCAACAAATCTCTTATTATGACGAAGTCAATGAAATTAAAGATTGGTTTTTCGATTTTATGGATTCCGAATTATTCCTTTTTACATTGTTGCTAACGCCGCACTTATTTTCGTCTTATATTTTTCGTAAAAACAATTACTTTTTACTGGATCCTTTATTTTTTAATTTTGGCCATTCTGAATTGTGTTTATCTCTTTGCATATGAATTCTACACCTAATCGTTTTAAGTTATGGCCGGTAGTAACACAGCTAAACTCTCAAACGGATTATCCGGCCGAATATCGCAGTAAATCATTGCTGAATATTCGCACTAAAGATATCGGGTTTCACTAGCCATTCGTTACGTGGCCATTCTTGTGCGTTGACAAAACCAATAACATTTCAAAAAACTTAACCGCTTGCAACAGAATTTCAAAAACCGTCGACTGTTGACATATTTCTATCCATACTTCTTCTTGTATATGTTTTCTCTATATTCTTTTTCTTGTCTGTCCACTAGTGAATTTGCAATAACGCTGAAACTAAACTAATGAATTTGTTATTAAATTACTAGATATTCTTCTTGTATGTTTTCTTTAATTGATTTAGTGATCAAAAAAATTGATACCCCTTTTTTTATATATTTCATGACTTTCATATATCTCGTCTTGGAATAGAAAAGCACATTCACCGTTTAATGTCATCTCTTATGTTTATTTGTTTATTCAAGTATGCAAATATTGTTAAAACCTCAGACATCACAGGACTTTCTTATAATCAGAAGGACTAATAATCTAGACAAATAGCCATTATAAAATTCTGTAAAAGAAAAACAGTTTCGATGCGATCGGATTGTAGCAGGTCATCAAGACGCTAAATTCTTCATATGTTTTCGCATTTAGGACAATTATTTGACGAACGTCAACAATTAAGGTACCTGTTTTCCTTTTAGCATTATAGTTGTTGAACAAACATGTTTTTATGTAGTAGAAATACAAAAAATAATCGTGATTATGGTGTTCATAGTTTTCAAGGAATATGTTTTACCGCACGCTATTTAAAATATAATCAGTCAGAGACCGAATCGGGTCTTACGTGATCTCTGTAACTGCGTAACTGTATAACTATCACAACTGAACTAATCCAGAATTTTTTACAAAATTATTATTAACAGAATCAAAATGCTAAAAACTTTTTTAGCCAGTTTTACACCTCTTCTCTGTTTAAGCCGTGACAGTTATGCAGGTACAGTTATCGACGGTTTTATAGCCATAGTTAACTGCCAAAAAACTTATAACTGGTGTATATCTAAATCCAATGCGCCACTAGGATTATTTACAGAAAAATCCAACAATCTCAAATATTGAATTTTGACACTTTGTGTCCCATCTTCATTTCCGTCTAGACGTTTTCAACAAACTCGTCCGTCTTTAGCTGTCAATAAAATACATCTAAACACAAAAATCAAAAAACCATTATGCTGTGTGACATTTAGGCACTCAGAAACGAAACAAAACAGCAGAAAATAAAGTAGTGTAAAGAAACAAAAACAACAAATCAATATAACAGGAGAGAAACACTCCTGATGTAAAAAAACGTAAACGGATATGTTGTTGATATTTTTCTTCGATTTTATACTATGACCCCTGTGGCAAGGTTTCATATGCACTTATTTTCTAAAGTACACTTGCCCAAAAGTTGCCATTATTGGATTTTATAGTCCAATAGTTATTGAAGTAAACAAACTTGGGTAAATCCCAAATACTGTGTAAAAGTTATTTTTCATTCGTCGAACGCCCTCGCAAGATACGTCTGAAATCACGAGAGTACTCATGTGGTTGTTACACCAAAGCCTAGTAATTGTCCAGGGAGGCTAGCCCCTCCCATAGCTCCAGGGAATCCACCACCTCCGAGAGCTCCAGGGAATCCACTGCCTCCAATAGCCCCTGGGAATCCACCACCTCCAATAGCTCCTGGGAATCCACCACCTCCAATAGCTCCTGGGCATCCACCACCGTAGCCTCCTAATCCTGCTCCACCATTAACGAAACTATTATAACTTGCAGCAAATTGCGGGGTCCATGGTACTAATAAATTAATTGTCCGTTGATATCCTAGTTCACCACCTCCGATAGCTCCAGGGAATCCACCACCTCCGATAGCTCCTGGGAATCCACCACCTCCAATAGCTCCTGGGAATCCACCACCTCCGAATGCTCCTGGGAAGCCGCCACCTGCGATAGCTCCTGGGAAGCCACGCATTCCAACACCACCACCGTAGCCTGCTAATCCTGCTCCACCACCGTAGCCTCCTAATCCTGCTCCACCACCGTAGCCTCCTAATCCTGCTCCACCACCGTAGCCTCCTAATCCTGCTCCACCATTAACGAAACTATTATAACTTGCTGCAAATTGCGGGGTCCATGGCACTAATAAATTAATTGTCTGTTGATATCCTAGTTCACCACCTCCGATAGCTCCTGGGAATCCACCACCTCCTATAGCTCCTGGGAATCCACCACCTCCTATAGCTCCTGGGAATCCACCACCTCCTATAGCTCCTGGGAATCCACCACCTCCGATAGCTCCTGGGAATCCACCACCTCCGATAGCTCCTGGGAACCCACCACCACGTTGATATCCCAATCCACCAAGCCCGCCTCTGAACCCAGCGCCAGATCTGTACCTACCAACCATTCTTTATAGAGTAGACAGCTAATACTATTTGTATTACACAAATATTGATGTTGGTACTTATTTTCCTGTTATTGTAGTTTACGTCCTTTTTACACAGTATATTTCTTTTCACACGCTGTCTCTCTCTCTCTTTCGTTTTGCATATTTTGTGGTTTCGTAGCTCGTTAAAAAGATGCCGACAACTGATAGTTCATTCAAGTGGAACCAAAAAACATACATTCGGTACTACAGACCACCATTTAACACATGATAATTGAAAAAATTAGGTACCCAAATTATTTATTCCTATTAATGATTTTCTTCCATCATACCATGTATATGTATTTTCGTTCCACCTCAGTGAATTATCAGTTATTGGCATCTTTTTAATATGCTACGAAACCACAAAATATGTAGAGAGAGAGAGGGAGAGAGACGGCGTGGGAAAAGAAATATACGGTGTAAAAAGGACGTAAATCACAGTTTTACTTGCTGTAAGATTAGCAATTGGCATTGTTAGATATGGATCTGGTAATAGATTTAGCGGCAAATTCTACACAAGGTTTTCCTTTTTTCTTGACAGTTTAGATTTCATATTCCTCAGTCTACATAATTTTCTATTGTATATACTGTATGAGTGAAGCCTGTTTCTCGCACATTATGTTGACCATGAAATGAATATCTGTAACGATTCAAGGACAATTTCGAAAACGTTTTTTATATTATTATTCAAGAACATTTCAACCAACGGATAATTCATATTCACAAGATAAACTTTATCTCCCTCCCAATTCCTCTGTTTGTCTTTTCTGTAACTATTCAACAGTTGAAAAAACTCGACTAGTCAGCGTCGGTAGAAAAGTTGACAGAACTTCCAATCTTCACGTTAAAAATATGCAGTGTTAAACGCTCATATTTGTATTGCAACTGTTGTCAAAACTACTTTACGCAACGGAAGTGAGACGTTGTCTACATGATTGAGATTAGAAGTACTCAAGGTCATGGTGCAGAAATAAATTTTTTGAATTTTCTTTTAGACCTTTCTTTACCGAGTTATAGGAAAAATACTGAAAAACTTTCAAAAACCAAGTTTTTAAATTTTAGAAACCCTGTAACTCGGTAAAGAAAGGTCTAAAAGAAAATTCAAAAAATTTATTTCTGCACCATGATCTTGAGTATCTCTGGTAAAATTTTTCACTGGATCGGATGAAATTTAAGGCAGGTCGTAATGTGGTCCAACGGGAAAAACCGAGTTTTCCAGTTAACTGGTGAACGTCAATGGTTAAAAATTTGAAACAAAAACGAACAACAGACGAAAAACAAAGAGGTTCCTATAGTGAAGATGTCCTTCTAGCGATAAACCTATAGATCTATTATACGTTTCAAAAACGAATGCCCCTGACTATTTTTCGAATAACTTTTAATAGAAAGTAGGTAAAGAGATGCGGTTTTCGCTGTTCGAAAGCGAACACCTTAAGACATCTTGAGAAATAAAAATTAGATCAGGTCTACCACCTGCAGATGGTAAGCCATTCACATCTTTAAAAGACAAGGTTGGAAATGAATGAAAAAAAAATTTTTTTCCCCGTTATTTTATAGATTAGAACCAGCAAACCTTCTTCTAAAAAACCCCAGAGAGCTGATTTTTTTCTGTTCTCCCGTTTCCCATAGTAAGCGATTTTACGAGGCCGACCATAACTCAAGCTTTTTCGCTTATAATAACGAATGAACACTTCCCAAATAGGTTTTCGACTATGCTGATTCAGGTGGCAATGTTTTTTTTTACTCTGAAACGATTGTTGATCGTGATACAGCACTGATTACTAAATTTAAGTAGTAAAATTTTCTACACTATTTATCAGTGTTTGAGACAGGCATGCAGTGGTAACGGTAACTGCTCGATCAATAACCACCTGTAATAGTTAGTTCTTTGGACAGATCAAATTTTAATAAAAAAGACTTTAACTCATAGTTTTCCCTATGAAGAAAACACTTTTGAGAATTGTGTCTAGAACATAAAATGTAACAAATTTAATTTTCGGCTTGTCCAAATGTTATGGAATTACTTTTTTTCAACTTTCACGTGCCATAACTTTTCTGAGAATGATCCAAATGCAATGACGCTTTTATCAGAGGTAGACAGTAACGAGTTTTATCACGTCCGAAAATTTCGCTGAGTTTGGATCATCCCACAGAGAGTTATTAAAAAAATAACGGCCGTTACGGAATTACCGAAAATGGACTTTTTTTTTCAGTGATGTCTAAGTTTTACATTTTTCTGCTCAATGAAAGCTTTTTTTGGGATGTATTCTGAAGCAAAGTTGTGTAGCTTGAGACCAGCTTTCAGAATATCCACTTGGTTTTCGATTAGAATCGCTGGATGATATAAAAATTTGAAAACACAGTCCGTTACGGAATTACAGCTTTTTTTGGTTCTTTCAAATCAGAAGGTTAAGCTCCATTACAAAAGTCGTCATAGAAAAATATTTCCGATAGCAGTAGACAGTATCTGATCTGCACTTTCCGATGCACTGTAGAAAAACGTTCTGAAATCGTTTTGACTTGGAGAAAAACCCGTTTCAAAACTTGGTCTTTCGAAAAATCAACTTTCTTGGAAAACACCTAAACTCAAAAATAAATACACTATCTTGTAGAGAATTTAATTCTCTACAAAATACCATATCTCTGAATTTTTTTCGCGAAAATATCTAGGTCAGGAAATTAAAACTAAAGTTTGAATTTCATTTTTTGAGGTCAAAATTTAATTTTTTGAAAATTTTAAGTTGATATTCGAAATCAGCTTCAAAAACTACGTTAGACGATGTGCTTCACAAATTCTTAAAGTTAAAAAAAAATTTTCGAACCATCTTAAACAAAGGTGACCGTTAGTTGGACAGGCCGTTTTCTAAATTTTATCTGCTAATACTAAATGTCTGCGGATCGATCTTCATAGAAAGAAATAGTAAATTCCGTCTTTTTTTGCCCTGAAGATCGTTTTGTACATAGTTGAGTTCAACAGATAAAAATTTAGAAAATTAATTTTGCTACTAGACTCACCACGGGAAGCTCTTACTTGGTAGCGAAAAATCAGAAATATCATCCTTTAGGCTAATTTTAGCCCGTTTTGTCATGAAGAAACAGAAGTGGTCCTGGTTCCGGTCCCGTTAAAAACATTTTTTCGTCCCGGTTCCGCCCATGTTTAATTAGCAAATAAAATTTACAAAATTAAATTTGTTACATTTTATGTTCTAGACACAATTGTCAGAAATATTTTCTTCAAGGAAAAACTATGAGTTAAACGGCCTGGCCACGTAACGGTCCACCTCTTTGCAACAGTATGAAGTTTGAAAGAGAGTAAATCTGACTTTACCATGTGAAGGAGCGTGTTCGATTGTGCATTGGGATACTTTTGTCTCGACCAGTGCACTCCAGTTTATGTCCAAAAAATGATCGTATAACTATTGTACAACCACCAAGCAAATGTTGTGTTTTTACTAGCTTGTTTTGGTAAGAAAGTCTGTTTTAAAAATACCTTTTTGGCTTAGTTTGTAGAGAAATTTGCGCTCTTTCTAACCGTCTTCTCATTTTTTTCAAATATCTCTCTGGAGATATACATGATAGGTCACAAAATTGGCGCATTTTCTCATTTTCCTCTGCTACGAAAAACTGGGTATTTTATTTCTCTTTATAAACGTTCCTCACGTTTTTATTGTCGAATCATATCATGTGAAAGTATGTTCGACGGGCTGTCTAACGGTGGTATTTTTTAGTGAAAATAAGTAGAACTGATGATGGAAAACTTCGTAACAGACGAAAATAGAGCTCATCATCGAAAGCTTCAATACTGAAATTTTATTCAACGACTCGTGAAAATAAAAGAGTAAATAGTGGATTTTATAGAGCTCGATGAGGTCTACTTGGATCCATTACGAATAGACTTGTGTCCAGCGAGATAGCGAATCGTGGCATAAATTATTTAATTTTTTTTCATTGTACAATGGAATCACGAAGAAAAATTCAATAACTTGTGCCACGACTCGGTATATTGCAAACTAATTTTGGTTTTTGTGTGTGTTCTATATGATATGATGAAAAATAAGCAAGACATATCATAGATACATCATGCTCTATTCAAGGTGTGGTGCACTTTTTATGTAAAAAAATTAACAAGTAGGGAACTATGTAAAGTTCGAGAGTTTCGAAACTATTAAATTTTCCTCGGGAATCAATGCTGTCTTTCATGATACCTCATGATAAAATGTGCTTTATTTCATGATAAATAGCTTCTATTTGTGTAAAATATGTTCTATTATTGTTAAATATATATAACTACGTGACATATATACACAACGCGTGACATAACCACCTCACAAAATAGCAAAGAAATATTTCCGTCTGTTACGATGATCTTTTCTACTTCATGGAGCACTGATAACATACTTTTTAAAAATTAATCATACCATTCGATAGCTCAAGTAATTCTCTACATTTTTTATGTGAACTATTGTTTTCTTATACCTCTACTTTCAGAGTAAAAAATACATTTCTGTAAGCCTTGTTAATTCATTTCTACGTTTTCCTTCTGTTACGAATGCACTATTTTACTCACTGCTCAGTGAGTTATGCACTGAATGAGTTGAAATTTTTACCAGAGATAGAACTCATGGTACACACCATAGAAAAAGATTTCAACTCGATAGTCTTTGCTGTCATCGAAATATTTGTCTCTGAGTGCGTCAAATTTTCCGTTCGTTATGCTTGGCCAGGCTGTAAAGTTTTTTTATTAAAATTTTAATCAAAATATTTACTTCACAAACTGTTCCCACTGAGATCTTAAAGTTTTCAGAAAAAAAAGTGTTTTATAATTTCTAGAAAACTTCGTTAAAAGCCCTGAAGATTGGCTTAAATAGTAGAAATGTTAAAAGTAGACATCATGGACTGCTCAATCCGTTAATGTATCGTCCGTTTCTGAAAGAACACCAGAATCTAATTTTCTAATAAGAATAGCACCTATTGTACAA